GGAACCGGACAGTCGTATTTATTTATGGACTAGAAATAATTATTAAACAAGTATTATAATTATCCAAATCAATTTCCTACAAAATTTCAACAGCTATTCGCAATTTATTAAACTATTTACCCGAAATTGTTATTAACATCTATAAAATATATTAATTTTTTTTAGTATTCCTGTATCATAAACCATCCCAAACAAACCCAAAAGCGTGCATAATCGGGACTTTATCGCACGCCGTGCATATAAAGGTTGCTAGGTAACGGTTCAATAAATGAGATTAGATTATGTCAGATTTTATTTTGAATTGTCAAATTTACCTAAATCAAGTAACATGAACAGAAAAATTATTTTAATAATTAAATGAAATGTCAAATAACATTTACCTACCCACTCATAAAATGCAAGGAAATTATTAATTTGCTTTTTTCAAATAAAATGATTGTAGTTATTACTACTATTACTATTGTAATTACGCATTTATACAAAAAAATACGTATGACATAATGCATAATCGCCTTTAAAGCATTAGTGTCATAATATACTATTATTATTTAAGAAGCGTATAATAATAAAATAAATTAAGTGTGTAATATCCATATTATACACGAGTTGTATACTTAATATATGACCTTTTAATGTACTAAAAATGAAAATAATTTACTGGGTAACAGATTTTCCGAAGAACCTAGAACATAGAGATAATTATAGTGTTTTTGGCAGGATGCAAGGGGCGACCCGTCAAATGCGCCACGACAAAACCGCCCTGACATATGCACCCGACAAATTTAATGTCTGTTGCAGATTTCATTTGATTTAGAAAAAAATTTAATGGCTCATTTTATGTATATTTTTTTGCGATGCAACCCGCTATGGATCGGAGCACAGGTTAGGTAAATTATTTCTTTTTTTTTTTAATTAGGATACTAGGAACATATTTCTATTTTCTTTAATATATTTTAGATTAAGGGTAAAGACACACACGGCTGTTTCCGCCGAGTCGGCTGGCCGCCTCTGCCAAAACACACGAAGCGGTTCACAAAAGTAATGCATTTGAGTCGAACGACGGTACGCGCGGCGGTGTAGCGTTTCTCGCAGCGCAGTATAGTGTGAACAACTCCATTTATTTACATTACAGCATCCGCCGAGGCGGCGGCCGAGTCGGCGACCGACCCGGCGAAAACATCCGTGTGTGTCTTTAGCCTTAGACTTAGCCTTAGACCATCTGCATGAGTTCATGTGTAGGATTAGAGCACCCACAATGTAAACAGAAAAAAAAGTCTGCCAGTAATCGTTAAAATAAAAAAATAGAATAAAAATATAAAAAAAATGTTAGGGTGCATATATGTCGGGAAGCGCATTTGTCGGAGCGCATTTGTGAGGGGCGCTTTTATCAGGGCGCATTTGACCCGGGCACAATTGTCGGATAACCGGTTCAAGGTATCTCTTTCTAGACTAAAGAGACATAATTATAATTTATAATCAACTAAATTGAGACAAAATAATATTTATACTTTTTGTACTGCAACCATACAATTAAAATCAGTGAGGGGAAATTTGAGTTAACTACTTTAAGTAGGTATTGGAATACTGACTGAGACACTAAAAAAAATAATACCTTAAAAGAAAAAGGAGAAATGACAAAATTGAATACATTAATGTACATAGTGAGTCCAAAGCTTATGCTTCTTTTTTTATCTATGTGTAAGTTAATAAAATACAACTTTTTTAAAACAACTTAATAATAAGAATGATAAAAAAATAACCAAAAAATCATAAGTCGGTTACTTCGGTGGTTACGCAATCTATTTTTCCGATCCACTCGGAAAATAAATGTCTAAAAACTTCCGAAAATATTTCACCACTAATGACACGCTTGGATTTGGGTGGCCACCGAGGTCACCAGACAAACCTAAATCTTTTAATTTTTTGTTTTTTTATTTTTGAGTTTTTTGAAGTGACTTCTATTCTCAGTTAAAACATTCACCAAAAATTCAAATTCTGAAAAAAGCTCGGCTGGTAGAAAATAAATGTATTTCACTGCTTTTATATATTATCTAAAATGACTAAATTTTTTCGAAAATGGTCCTATATCTTCCATCGAATTTTTAGCTAGATGTGATTTATCTTTTCTAAAAACTCTATTAAGAACCTGACAAAAAGTTTAAAATCATATTAGTATAAATTATCTACTTCCTTCCGTAGCATCACAATCTTGTATTCACGTACACCTATGTCATAAGGCATTTTCGGAAACCTACTGTAGATTGAAAATCCAGATTACTGGGACCCGACGGATCACATGGATCACTGAACTTGTGTTAGTACCGACAGTTTATGAATTAGTTGGATTTTATGTTTCTGAATTTTTACCGTTTTAATATTTTTAATATGAATCATTTTTAATTTAATTGATGACTTATCTACCAATCTACCTATACAATATGCCTACCCAGGTGACAATGAGACACCTTAGTTAGTAATAGGCCTCAATAGCATCATTGTGCATCCTCCAGATGCCTTTCAGCTTGCCTAAAGTCTGCTGTCAACCCTGAGAAGTATAGGGACTAACTCTCAGATCGTCAAAAGGCCTGCAGATCTGCTTGAGATAAAATTGCATAATACATTTTACTGTCTAGATGAAATTTTAGAACTGCGGCTTTTTTTTTTAATTTCAAGCCAGTCCACCAACAAAATGTAACCATTTCCAAATGATAAAATTACACTTCACTTGACGTCCCGACACTTCCGACTCGAAGAGATTAAGGTGTTAAAAGCCTGATCTACACCACACATACAAGTTGTATTATTTTTATAGCAAATGTATAACAACTTTGACAAAAGTAGCCATTTTATTATGCACGGTTGATATGAAGTTGTTTGTGTGGTGTAAATCAGGCTTTTAACAACTTAACCTTCAAGTAAGGAGGGCCGGAACCAATGAGGTTTATATCTCCATGGCCGGGACGTTAAGGAAAATATAATTTATCATTTGGGATTTTTTATATTTTGTTGGTGGACTGATTTGAAATAAAAAAAAATATACAAAAATGTCGTAGCAAAATTTTATGTGCGATTTTATCGCAAGCAGACTTGCAGGCCTTTTGATGATCTGAGAGGTGGTTCCTAGACCGCTCTCGGTGATGTTATATCAACCAGCAGACTTTTTGGCGAACTGAGAGGCAGGTCCTAAATTCCCCTGAAGGATGCACAATAGGCCTATTTAGGCCTAACTGACATGGGGGGCCACCCCTTCTTATATTTACAGATTACAAGAAACAGTAGCTTTTGCTGAAGTCTTACTTCATTCCAAAATCAAAACCATTAGAAAAAATAATATACCTATTTAGTTCTGATACCTATCTATTTATTATCCAGGGTCCATAATATTTCTTTCTTAGCAACTAGTTGTTACGTTTAACCATCAAGAACATTTGGTTGCTTCCAAATAATTTTTGTAACCACTAGTTGTTACAGATTTTATTTAGTTAATTCTGATTTCTCAAAGTGGTAATACAAGAACTGACTTTGGTCAAAGCAACATGCTCGGTAGCAACTGTATGATATCAGAATAGTAACCGTGAATACTAGAATAGCTACGTTTATCAAAGTTGTTATGCAGTTACAGAATATACCCCATTGGGGTCTATTCGCATTTGGACACACCCTATGTGCAATATAGCAAATTAATGAAGTCTTAATTTTTTTTGACGATGTGAAAACAATCAAATATGTCTAACTACCTGTAGGGTGTTTTGCTTTAAAAATGTATAGATTTGGTCAGCCCCTCGTTTATGGACCACCCTGTATATTGAAGAATAATGGTCAGACAACATTTATATTAATTTTTTTTCGAATTTTCAATAATAAAACAGCTATGGATCAATTACGCACTGATGGGAGATGGGACATCCTGTATGTGTGTCATTGACTAACATGTTGAATCCGTTGGATAGGTAAATGTATAAGGAATTTTATGCTAAAATAATATAGAGGGTGTTGTATTTGAAAAAATTGAGTAAATTCAACTTAAAATTAGCGACATGTTTCAAAACCAGTTCTATCACCAGTATTAGTTAGCTGATAAATCTGTATATTAAACCATTTTGAAATCAATGTTATTGATAATTTAATTTGGAGTTTCTGCATTATTATCTAATTTCATAAAAAAATTAATTGCTTGGCAAAACTGTAATGTTTTTAAAAAAAATCTAGTATTACCCAACCATTCTAAAATAAAATACAGGTTGTTTTATTTCAAATATATACATTTTATTTGTCAGGCAAAATTGCAACACTCTGTATATCCAAGAATATTTTTTGTATTTTTCGAATCCATATAACTTTTATTTGAAACTTGTTTGTGTGTACCTGTAACACAAATTGAAATATTGAACAATTACGCACTAATGGGGCACCCTGTATATTTGAGAACAATGAAAATTTGGCAACACCGTCATATGTTATTTGATCCATGGATTAAAAAGAATCATAAAATATACCAAAATTAAATGGCATTTCCAGTAGAACCGAAATCTTGTTTGGGTGTAAGTGTCAATTCGAAATTAGGTATGTCTAGTAGGTATATGTTTTGTTCCAAATTTTATCAAAATTGCTTAATAAATAAAAGATATATTAACATATGTCACTAGTCTCATTATTATAACCCGGTATAGGTGTACTAACAGAGTTGACTATTCTAAAAGCAGAATAGTGGATAACGTTACTATAAATAGTTTTATGTGTTTAGATAGTATCATTAGAATACCTACATTTGAAAATATAAAAAAAAAATATTCAAAGTTAATAAAAAAATAGTCAACAAGTTACAAAAAAAATGCTCAGTTTAACTGAAAAAATTAAAATCCGACAACGTCGCCAAAATTAGCAGGAATCGTAGGTAAAAAAAAAACATGTAAAACACCAACCCAAACAGAAAAGCACGTGAGAATGCTGATTCCTGCAAACCAGCGCTTGCGCGACTTTTGAATCTCGGCGTGGTTCTTCGGTTGTCAGAATCCTCATGTTATTCGCTATAAAAACGGCTTGCTAGAAACTGCGCTTGACGTTGAACACAACGTTCTCTGTCAAAGTCGAATTAAATTCGAAGTGTTTGGGTTTTTTGTTATCGTTTTGTTGTAAATTGTAACTCTTCGGTTTTCGGGTAAATAAAATTTTTGTGTGTAATGATGCCAGCAGATCAAGAATTAAATCAAGTATTGGTGAGGAGACAAGAAATTAACGAAGCTTTGGATAATGGCAATGAAATTAAAATCAAGTACAGAGTTGTTAATGTTTACACAGAGTTTAAGGAGTTTACTAGGAAGGAAATTAAGAAATATGAAGATACATTCAAAAAGTAAGTACCTATAATACATACACGCATATTTTGTAAACTAATGTGAAGAGAATAACCGTCATTTAATCATTAAATATTTTTAATTTGTTTATGTATACTTGTATAATATTAAAATTCTGTGTATTTTAGCGAAGTCGTATAAACATTTTGAATTTACTTAATGAACACGTTTTAATGAGCTTATTGATAACATTTACGAAACTTGTACGTTTTATCAAGAAACACATAGTATTAGAGTTTAAAAAATGAATACCTATAAGTATTTTTACATTTTACAATATACTTACCTGAAAATATTAATAAGTTCCGCGTTATTATTTAGGAAAAAATAACGTGAAATTCCTTATTCCATAAAATATCTTATTAAGGCCCAATTCCACTGATAGTAGTTACGAAATAAACCTCAGGTTTAAAATGACAATTTTCCATTAAATATATCATTTTAATCTTGGTTTATTTATTAACGATGACTAGCGGTGGAATTGCCCTTAGTACCTATCTGATCGTAATAAATTTAAAATTTATTATAAACTTTTTTGTGTGATTATTTTATTAAAATTTAGATACTGCATAAATACAGTTTGCATTGATGTTAAATTAAAGAAATCTGGAGCATTTCTTTTATTATTATACAGGGCGTCCCAATAAACTCTCAGGTCCAATATATCGATCGGAAACTAGATATTTTAATTTTGTAAAAGGTTATTCGTCAGTTGTTAAAATGGATAGAAGGGTGCTGCAATCATAAATAGTTTTCGATTCGGTACTAAAATTTTGATCTTGTATTGCGGCTTTTTTTAAAAATGTGATACCTAAATAAAAGTTGTGGCATAAAAAAAATTGACCGTGAAATCGTTTTCATGTTGGGTTTCATATACCTATTTCTATTTTCTAAATAAAAAAGAGCCGTATCTTTTTTCATAATGATTTTAGAAGGAAATTTCTATTCGCGATTCAAACTAAGTGATATGCCCTCTGGAGGAAATTTGTAGAAGGTCCCTATAAGTAGGATATCGTTCAGAGTTGCCAGAAGTAGCAAAATTTTTCTTGAAGAAGTGGAAAAGACCTTTTATTTAAGAATCAAAATTTGTGTCTAGTAATATCTAATCATACTCTATATTTATTTAAGGATTTTTTTTATAAAACCGATTTATATTGATTTTTTTTTAAATTTCAGTTCATTTATTAATTTTGTTTTAAAATCAGTTCATCATTTGGCAACATTGGTGTTCGTGTTCATTGTTTACATTTTAATTTGTATCAATTACAATTCGAGATTTTTCTTACTTTTTAGCTTTAAATTTGTTTATTTCTTATAGTATGTGATAGTGTTTATATTAAAAATGAAATCTGCGAAAAAGCCCCTAGCAAATTGCGTCGTAAAATTTTATTTCTTACGATAAATGGATCTGCAAATTCACAATATTGAAATTTTGCAAAACTTTGTTTAGAATCAAACTGTAATTTGATTTGTGATGGTTTTATTACCATTTACATGTATACAAAGTACTACACAATTCACGAATAAGGATAGTAAGATTTTTAAATAAGTTCATCAATAATAAACGTTTGGTACCTGAAATGTCCTTCAAACCACATAATAAAACATGTCCTGGGTTTAGTAAATACATATTTCTAGATGTTCTTGTAGCAACCAATAGGTGAATATTTCCAACAAATTAAGTCATACACATGATAAATATTATATTTATGACGAAAGCACGAAAACTAAACTTAAATTAACACTAAATGAAACTCAAAAACACTATTATAATGAGAATATTATCTAAAAACAGTTAAAAAATCACAAATACAAAATCCGCCCAAAACAAACACATGTAAATAAACAAACATCCTACTTATAGGTGACAAAGGACAGGCGCGCGAAAATTAATTTGAATCGCGAATAGAACTCTTGGAAAAGCATAATTTATGCTGTTAAAAATTGAAATGTATTTATTTTTAATGAAAACAAAAAAAAAATGTAATGTGCTCCTTAGCTAGACAAATGAAAAGTATTCCTCTTTATTTAATTTTTAAAGTTTTGATTTCATTTTTTCAAAAAAAAAAATGAGAAAATTGTTTTTTTTGAGATTTTTTTTATAAAAAAAATTAAACTTTTTGGGAAACTGGTTTCAAAGGGGTACATAACGGTTACCTATACATGTGTATACTTAGTATACTTACATATTTTTTCTTTCACTAAAAATAAAAATATAGATGAAACCAATCAGAAAGATATTGGTTTCATAGTGCCTAATAGAAAATACTGAAATTATTTATGTATCGGAAAAAAAAGAAAATTTTATTTATCCTTCGTAAAACATCAATAAAATATAACAATAAATTGCTTCTATTCATAGACGAAATATCTTGTAATGTATGGGTTTCGTAGTCCTCCATTTTTATTTTTTATAATATTTAGTAAAATAAATGTCTGTAGATATGTATATTTATATATACGTGCAGGTTTAATAAGGAGCCCCCGACGTCCCAACGAGCCCATATTTACCTTTAACTTTACGTACAGATTTTTTCTTTTACTAAAAATAAAAAATAATTTTTAAAGTGGGGTACTACGAAACCCTTGCATACACTGCTTTAAAGCTCTGCTTTGAAGCCAAGTAAATACTCCTATTAATTTAATTATTTTAGGTATATTATGTAGATTTTTTTCACAAAATTACCTTTGGTTCTAATTTTGCTTTTAAAACTATACATTTGATAAACTATTTGAAATTAATAATGATCTTAAATATCTACTTTTTAATTTAAATTAAGTACACGATTTAAAAAATGTTATTTGATAACTCCATAAGGTATCGGCCAACGAATACGTTCTAGGGCCGGGCCGCAGATATTTTTTTCTTAACCATCCTCCCGAGTCCTACCGCTTGCCGAGTCCTCATTTGCTGCGTTTGCGCTACATTTCTTTGATTTTATGGGAAAGTAACCATTGTCATTTTTCTTAATATTGTCGTACCAGTTGGAAATAGGTTATGTAAAAAATGCAGAAAGATAATATAATAATGTTTATTAAAGAAAAATATATATAAATAGGAATAATTGCAAGTATAAATACAAAGTTAAATTATTATTCAAATTAAATACTTACAAATACAAAATAAATTAGACATTGATAATTCACTGAGGCATTATATGCCTGTGTGCAAGCTAGTTTATTTTGAAACATATAATTGTAAGTAGGTAGAATACGATATAGAATGATAAAAAGAAATAAATAAATACTAAACTCGAAAAGTATCTTTTTTTGTCACTTTTGTAAGCTAGATAGGTATAGAAATACTTATAAGTAGAACATGTAGCCCGGCACGCTTTAGGTACGGCGGCATTTGGTAAAATTTAAAAAAATACCCATTCTATAGACATTTCTAAAAAAAAAAAATAGGCTAATAACCTAATATTAGTATTCAGAATGAAAGTTTCTTAAATCGTAGAATTATTTAAAAAAAAGGACAAGGAAAATCTTTATAAATGAATCAAAATATTACCTATTTATGAAATAATTTCAGTTAGTTACAAAATAAAATATGATATATGCCCATTCTTTAATAATCGTAGAAAAAAAATTGTCGATATATCTAAGGCAAACGCCTATAAAATTGTAACTTTGATATAAACAAATTATCCGCATTTTTTGTCAAAAAGTAGAAAATTGCCAATTGAATTTTGGTAAAAGAAATTCTCAAAAGTAGCGGAAGAATGGAATTTGTTAACCATACTGAAAAAAAGTAAAATATCTACCTACCGAACCCCCTCAAGATTGGAGGTGTCAATGTAAAATTTTAAAATAAAATTGTTTAATTCTCTAGGAAACAAAATCATCTTAAAAAAGGCTCTCTAAGTGTAATTATTTCAAACGCGCAAACGCAACACGCGAGGGACTCGGCAAGCGGTAGGACTCGGGAGGATGATTAAGAAAAAAATATCTGCGGCCGGGCAGGGGCATATTCGTAAACTACCCACACGTTATGAACTCGGAAAAGTGCGATGTCTCGAATGGCAAACTCGTACAATTGTTAGAACTAATACGTCGGCGATTTATGAAACAAGAAATAAGAAATGTTTATTTACTGAACATTAATCATCACTCATCATAGACAATTTTGTTTCCTTTTTCTATTGCCGATTGCCCATAGTCTGAATAAAAGAGTGCAGTAAAAGTGGGGATATAACGTTACATTCCATAGGCATAGGTACTTTGCAAAATAAGTTTCTATAATATAAATAAGGTCACGGCATATAAAATGGTATATACGCACTTCCTAGATTAAATTTTCAATTAAAAGTTATATTATTTACAAAAAATATATGACCTTACCACATACAACTGACCTTTTTAAATTTGAATTACCAAATTTTCCTAATTATGTGCGGTATTAAACTAATATATCTATCCTAATAGTATTGAATTGTACATCAATGCATAGATAACTCGTATTCGTAAATTGCCGACGTATTAGTCTAACACGTCGAAGTTTTACGAGGCTATTATTCTCGATACCGAACTGATTCGAGTATCTAATATGTCGGCGATTTCCGAATATATGGCCGGGTCCACTGCCCAGGCCCGAGTCAACTACGGTCCCAGATTCGTCAGATTTGTACGGTGTCGTATATCTATCGCGCAGTGGAAAGCAACGGGTCTACCACAGGCCGGTCCAAATAGGATCGAAGTAGGCCTGTTTGCTTTCCATCGCGCGGTAGATATACGACGCCATACTAACGAACCTGAGCCCGGCCCGTTATATCTATACGCACCTTAATAAAAGGATTATTTACTATACAAAACGATGATACAAAATGCTACAAAATATTATTTATTTGAACAGAATTATATATTATTTTAACACACTATGTACTTGATAACCGAATTTATACATTAGTTTTAATTTTACTTATTTCAATTGGTAATAATTTTAAAATTAGTGCAATTTTGTATGTTTATTCAAGGACTTTCTTTTAGAGATTTTCGTTTA